AGAGTGGCAGTGGATGATATGAGTCATCTTAATAAAGCATTAGTTTCCAATAGGTACACTGCCTATGCAATCTAGAACAAACTGTGGGCAGCAGCCCCATGAAGTGATGCATAACTGCCTTTAGTCTTACCCAAGGAGAGAGCAATTGATTTAGCTGAACAGTCATTGTCTGAAGACATAGTTTTGCAAGTGGTTGCATGCTTTTGTGTAAATACTAAACTGGGTGTACTCCTTTGGCCTTATTTCTCCAAAGTACATTAACAGTGGTTAATGTACTTAACCACTGGTAACAGTACAATTATCCAGAACATCAAAGCTAAATATAGTGTTGTTTAGCAAAACCAAAAATGTACAAGTCAGATCCTACATAGAATAGAAATGCAGAGAATTTATGGTCTGTGATTTAATAACCAAAAGATTCATATGGCTGGCAATGTCAAAGACTGATGAATTCAAACAGAATGGCATTCAAACAGACAAGGAGTGCTAGCTGGGACCACTATTGATAGGACTTTAGCTCCAGGGTCTCAATTTCTTAAATCTATAGAAATGAAAATGTGTGTGAACTTGCATGGTAGGTCTGTAACACTACTTAGGTTAAGTAATATACACATAATTCAGGGTCAAAGCCATATTCTGCAATTATGTTGCTGAATAAAACAAACTTGAATGATTCCAAGTGTGTAGAAGATACTCCTCATCCTAGCTGAAATTTGTCAGGAGTGCAGTGGATCTCCAGTGGAACCCCAAAAAAAAAAAAAAAAAATCTCAAACAAATACCACTGTCTGCCCATCCACTAATCACACCTGTGGTGAAGTCCAGGAAGCATTTGGGGACACCTGCGCTGGTGGGGAAGTCACAGGGGTTAATGGGGCTCTGAAGTCTAGCCCAATGTCATCACCTCTTCCACATGGCTCTGTATTCATCTGCTCCAGCAACCCTTGTCTGAAAGTATGTTGGTGGGAGGGGGCAGAAACTGAAATTAAAAACTACTTTATAAGCCTGGTGAATTAAAACAGAAGAAAAATTTGTTCAACATAATTTTAAACATTTTTTTCATATTCAATATTAAACAATGAATAAAGTGGCTTTTCACAACTATGAAAAAAGAATACCTTCTTAAACATTATTTGTAAAATACTGTACAGGCAGGGAATAGCCTGGTGATCAAATTATCACTGTACATTGATTGCAAAAAAGCATACATGTAATTCTGTGAACGAGCCATACAAATTTGCAGTTTCTTTGCTTTGTGCAAACAGGATACAAAGGAAAATGCTGAATAATTCTGGGGAAAAAAAAAAAAAAAAAAAAACCTGCATGGGAAGTACAATATTTTTTTTTTTTTAAAAATTAAAAAATAAAACACACCATACAAGAGTGCCAATTTTCACCACATGAAAGGTTTTCCCCAAACCATCATTGTAAACACATCATTGAAGTAGTAGTACTTACATCTGGTCCATTGGGTCATGTCCATCTACGACAGACTGTTGCACTTCAAGGGCATCATGGGGGTTGTTGGAGGGGGGGTCCCAAGCATGTAGAGCCCTCCTCCACAATCGAACCTGCATATCCCAGGAGCGTCGGCTGTATTTACGGTACTTGTTGGGGGTGCGAGGGTGGAGTCCAGGAAGACGCAAATGTCTGCAGCCACAGAAATAGTATGGCCTTCTTAAGCCCCAATTGGAAACCCTTAGGCAAAAGCATTTTACTAAACTATATTGCTCAAATTGTCTGAACATTCTTGAATAAGTTCATTGAAAATGCAATTTTATTAATACTAATTATTGCACACACAAAAAAAAAAAAAAAAATGATAAAGCTATTGCAACTGGTCCTGTTCATACTTTGGCACCTGCTGCAGGTAGTTCTGGTAACCACAGGTGTTTTTCCCATATTGGATCTGCTTCTGTCGGCGCTTCAGTACTGCCTCATTGGTTTCACAACGGGATGGGTCCAGAGGTCGTGTGCCACAGCGCCCCTCTGACTGAGCCCTCCAGAGAAAATTATGTTTAGCTGGTATTCAGCACCACAACATTTAAACAGTAGGCAAACATTATTTGCCTTTATTGAACAAAATGCACAGTGAGGGTAAGGAACATTTCTTTGCAACCACCACCACCACCACCACCACCAACCCCAACCCAAGAAAAGATTGCGCTTTATCAAGAAATGAGCTCCAAATGTAGGAAGCAAACAAATAATGTGCTTAACCATGCAGAAAACAATCTGCTGCCCTGGCAGTCTTGTCTCTTACCTCCAAAGTCCATCCATGTCCTCTGTCCCCACTGCAACGCTAGCAGTGGACATCCTCAGGATACATCGTTCCAATATGGAAGACCTGATTGGAAGGGCAACAGTCAAGAGAGAAAACAAAGTAGAGGATACATGTTTTTCCAGTTACACCCACCTCTATACATTGACCATTAAGAATGGAAAGAGTATTTATGGGGATTGTGTGTGTATCATTGTGACAGCTATGAACCAAAAACAAAGCAATCACCAAGTATAAACATAAGCGCAAGTGTACACAGCACAGCAGAGCTGAATGATAGATGTGCTGTGTGTGTAGGTACACGTACATGCTTCTGTGCATATGGACACTTGTGGAGAGGGGATGCATGCGAGACAATATGGGTTCATGTGGTGAAGAACGCAGTTTGTGTGCACGTGTGCATTCAGGGGTGCATATAAATGTGAAAACCAATGCTATATACCGGCGTGGCTTCTGTGTGACTCCCGGATTGTTGTCTCTGCTCAGCTCAGAGCATGGCGAGTTACTGCAGGAGAAAATTAGATAAGAATTCTTGGACCAATCTCACCAAACCTTAAAAAAAACAAAAAACCAAAAAAAAAAAAAAAGGGGGGGGGGGTTGGAGTGTGATAAACTCCTTCTCTCACCTGACCAAACTGTCATACACAAAGCTGCAGCCAGGGAGAAGCCAAGGCTCTGGCCCACAGGGGTGAGTACCTGGCCTGGTTAATAAACCCTCTGGAAGCTCACGGTGGGATGACCACAGGGGCAGTGGCCTTCCCCTGAAAACAGTATATGCCAAACAAAAAATTAAGACCATTAAGACCAAAACATTAGAATCAAAGCTACGAGATAAGTGACGTTTACATTTTGTTCCAAACGTATGCCTGGGCAACAGACTTAAGACGAAAGCACTTGTAAGTGGTTAACCGACAATTACCCCGCCCCTGCACCTTCCTTGAAATTTTCAACCTAAGAGGAAGCGAGATGTAGACTGTAAATAATTATACATCGACAAAAGAAGTCTAACATACCTTGGCTCCAGTGGGCTGTGCAGTGTCGTGTCTACACGTGTTGTCATGCTGAATCGACCAGCAGTCTGACTGCAAACACGCCATGTTGGAGGAGCCAGATTTAAATCAGCGCCAGGTGAGTTCACCTCCGCCCCCTTGGGGCGTGGTATGGGACCTTGAAAACTATCCTAATATATTGATATTAGGAGGTACATTTCGCGTGCAGACGCTTTCGTGTGTGTCCAAGTAACACACGAAAATCTTTGTGTTATGTTAGTGCCTGTGTACATTGTACAGGATTGTAGATATGTTGGCAAAAACTTTTTTGCATTACTGTAGTGTAGGCTATATCCCGTGTAGCCTACAGGTCTCCAGATGTTTTGCGCAGTATCGGGTAAGATGTACTCACAAAGCAGGTCGGAGAATGAGCAAGAACAGAGCAACACTTGAGTTTTGTTTCATTATGCAACACAGCCACGATACATAGTTTTTGGAAGTAAAGCCAAGGTGTAGTTCTGTTTTGAAGAACTGAGTAAGAATTAAGGCTAAATTTAATAGTGATCGATCTCCTAAATAACTAACTTCATGAAAAAAATGAATGACATAACTATAAGATGCTGGCTGATCTATTCGACACTGATAAAATCAGTGAAAGTACTCGTAGTACCGTGTTACTTTTACCCACAAATCTGCCATGCAATGTTTAAGTCAATCGACTTGTAAAACAGTTAACCTTTCCCGTGTGAGGCAAACCACTACCCTACGGAAACACGAGGGAAAAAAGATTAAAAGCAAATGCGGGAAATGTAGGGAAGACGAACCGTTAACCTGTTTCCCTATGTAACAACGTAACATGTCCATCCAAAATATCCTGGGTTTTGTATCGGTATGTTATACTTTGCTGAGACTGGTAGGGTAACTCCCACGATATGACACTGTGGGCTGGTTTTCTGGCCATGGATTCAACCTAGTCCTTGACATAAGGAAAATACATGTATCTATTTTATGTCATTTCTTAAAAAAAGTGTTTAGTCTAAATTTAGACTATAATAGACTAAATTTAAGGCAGTGGTTCTTAACCTTGTTGGAGGTACTGAACCCCACCAGTTTCATATGCGCATTCACCGAACCCTTCTTAATTGGAAAAATTAAATAGGATTTTTTCAAATTCAAAAAATAGGTATATATTTTACTGGTGCTCAAAATGAACCGTGCATTAACACCATTGTGTTCAAAGAACAAAACCATCATAACATGATTTTCACACAAAAACAAAAACGGGACGTGACATCACGAATCACATGAGTCGGGTGTGTCTTGACCTCCACCGAACCCCTGAGACTGACTCACCGAACCCCTGGAGTTCGATCGAACCCAGGTGAAGAACCAGTGATTTAAGGTAATCCATTCCCAGGAAGCTAGCCCCCTAAATTCAGAGACTTCTTTAATAGCTAGGCCTACTTATTTATGCTGGAATGGATGTGACACTTGACAGACTCAATGTGTAGGCCTAAAAATTATGTCTTTTGACTCACTCCACTGTTCAGTTTGTGGTTGGTGATGGGTAGTTATTTTTGGAAATGAAACCAAGGTGTAGTGCTAATTTGAAAAAAAAAAAATCAGTGGTAAGTGATGAAATTCGTGGAGCTACTGGTGTCACTGCACCTGTTGCTGTTTTCCATGCATCTACCATGTAATCTTGAAGTAAATAGACTTAGCTAAATATCATTGTTTCCGCCCGATTTCGAACTAAGGACTTTTCGCATGTGAGGCGAACGTGATAACCACTATATTACGGAAACACCAACAGTATGCAGTTATGCATTTCCAGAAAATGGAAGGAACAGCAAAGGTTAATTGCAACAGATGTTAATTATTTTATACTTTACTAAAATATGCCTTTAGATAAATTACATTTTTCAACTACTATTAAGATGGCATTTCATAGATACATGATAATTTACAGGTTTTCCACAGGAACAGAGCCTTTGTGGAGAGTATAGGACCTTTCGCGTATTGGGCGAGCGTGATGACCACTACACTACGGAAACTCGCCTCGAGATAGTAAAGCCCCTTTTCACAATAGATATACAGAAATTACCGGGCAGCAAGACTTTTTTTCTATTGGTACGGATTTGTCTGTCTTCCTATCATTCGTTCATTGATGTGTTTATTTCTGGATCTTCCTTTTCTAAGACCCATCAATTACAGGGTTGTCAATCAAGGTGGCGGTGAGAGTTAGCAAGTCTCACTGGTGAAAAAACGTTAAGTATGAGGTAAAATAAATCATACAACATCTAATTATATAAAAATCAGCCCTAAAGACTGTTACAGAGACATAGCGAAATAATTACAAAACATTATAGGAAATATACTAATTTAAAGATCCTAAATTGAAATGCGGATAAATAAATGTATGAATACTTGTAGTGCATGCCTAAAATAGTTGAAATAATTGATTATTTCGTTAATACTTACGAATACTTAATTCTCAAATGTATTCATTTAATCTGTTTAAGTTTTTATTTCCCTACTGATTAGGCGCTTGTATTTGCTTGGGGCTATTTACTTGTGGCCACGTACTTCTTTGTAAGAAATTGGGTGGCTAACTAACTTTCGCTAATCAAGCTTCTTTTAAATGTAGACAAAATATTGTGTATCCCGTGATCAAAGACTCATGCTTGCCTCTTGCGCTTCATAGCCTACTTCAGAAAGCACTGTATCGAAATGTATTAGCATAATCTTAGCATTAGTAATTACGGTTAGCGCTATCACATGAATAGGGAAAGACAAGAGAACGTTTTGTTCAAAAAGCGTAGGTGACAATGTTGACCGGTTTTTAAATAAAGTAGCCTCTGTTTCTTTTCAGCCTATATAAAATGCTAAACTACACGTTAATTAATGAAAGTCGGATGTTGCTTATCATATTTGCTTATCTGCGTCACTATTCAAATAATTTCACTTCATGTCGCTCTGGGTTTCATAGTTCTGCCAAGTCTACGGACGTCACAGTGAAACGGCAGCCACATTTTATTTTCGCCGGCCTGGATGACATCATAGTAGAAACCTCAACGACCTTATGCACTATAAATGTTTAGCTGATAACTGAAGCGGCCAGATGTTGCTCCATACTTTCAGGCGAAAATGGAATTTTCGGCGTCTGTTGAAGATCGCAGCAGAAGAGGCCTTCAGGCCCGAAGACAGAAGGCTATGGAAAAAGCCATACGCCAGGAGTTCTATCAGAGTGACCGTGTTAAACAATTTCATCGAGCACTTTTGCTAACAGAAACTCTGCAGGATCGAGCGGACCAAGCCAAAGTAGAGCAAAAATTGACTGCTGCCTCCAATGAGGAGACTAAGAAAATCCTAGATGAGATAAAGCGCAAATGGCTGGAAGGAATTGAGCAGGACCGACAGAATCTGAGGAAAAGGCAGCTTGAGTCAAAGGCTGTCGGAGACTATGTGAGGCAACAGATAATGGAGCATGAGTTCATGAGAAAACAGAGGCAACTTGAGAAGGAGAGAGAGATACAAGAGTGTCGAAGACTTCGAGAGAAGTATGAAAGGGACATGAGACTACTCAGACAGCAAGACCAAGAGGATAAGATGAATGTCAGGAATACTCTCACAGAGCTTCTGTCAAAAAATAGTACTATCAGAGCCTTAGAGGCTCAAAAACAAGAGATGAAGGATGAAAGGCGGAGATTTTTTGAAATGGAAAGGGACCAGATGGTGATGAGGAAGATTGAGAAGAAGACAGAGAGGCGCAGAGTGGCACAGAAGTACAAAGAGATGGTGATCGGGAGGCTGGCTGAGGAGATGCAGGATAAAAAATGCAAAGAGGAACAGCTCAGTGCTAAGGTTCTTGCTGACACCACAGCCAAGTGGGAAGCTAAGCTGGACCAGGAGCAAAATGAGAAAAATGAAAAAAAGATGGCCATGCTGAAAGCCATTGCCATGCATAGGGAATATAAACGTAGAGAAAGGGAGGAGGCCGCCAAAGAGGATAGAGACAATGCACAAGAAGACTTAAATGCAAGAAAAGAAGAAGATAGAATTTTCTGGGAAACACAGCAGTTAAAGGCTCAAGAAAAAGAGGAGGAACGTAGTATTATGGATGACATTCTTCGCTGTCAAATGTCAGAAAAGTTTATCCAGAGATGTCTTCTGAAAGAAGAACAAATGGATTTTGATAACAAATATGCAGAGTTGATTGCCTATGAAGAGGAGCAGTTTGAGCGCTACACCAAAGATGTAATCAGTGCTGCCAAAGAGGCCAACAGGAACATACTCCCACTCCTCAATACAGCTCAAAAGGACAAATGGTGTGGAGTAGGACCCATTTCTGGAGGAATGAGGACAAATTATTTGGTTCCCGGAGCCAACTTTGACAAAATTCCTGATTATGTCAGTGCCACAAGCCCAGACCTCAAAAGATTATATGGGAAAATTGATTGTGAACCAACTGCAAGAAGACTGAATTTTATATGGTGAATATGTGCTGAGGAATATTTTACAGTGTTGCAATGTCACACTTGGCATCTACATTGTGGAGCATTTCTGGCACTGCTCCTTTTACAAGTTGTGTTTATATTGCACCTAGCACTTTACAATTGCACATATAGGAATACCTGCAAGATAAACAGTGCAATAACAACAGTTGCTGTAAACCGACATGGAACTGTTACATATGAACTAATTCTATGTCCCCTCATGTTATGATATTTATATGCACTTGTGTAAGCCATACATACAATTTAATTTTAAAAAATAGAATATTTCTTATTAATGATTACTCAGAAGAATGTAAAATTACACCAAGCTTCTGAAAGTAAAATATTTGAAGCCACTTTATGAGGAAAGGATTAAAACTAGATATAAGACAACTATTGTGTGATCACTTGAATGCATTGTTTTTTGCAGACAAGCAGTTGCTTTTGGTAAACTGGGATTTCGACAGGGATAAAAAGGTTTTCTTTCAAACTCTGGTAATGTCAGACTCAGTTTTACCTGTTCCCTGCCCTTCACTATACTTATAGGGGGAGCAGAGTGAGGAATGGTGAGGCGGAGTCTGTTGAGATGCATGGCAGTCCCATAACATTCCACGGCCATCGTCATATTCTACATTCCACTCCATGGACATAACGAAGCAACATCATTTTGAAAAAAAGGGGGATAGCAATAGCAGGGCAAAATGAGTAGTGTTTATTGGGTTTTGACTACCTCTGGTCAGCTTTTATAGCTCTGGCAAAAGCTTTGTAACTTCTGGAGGTACTTTTGTTCCTTAGAATTTGGGGGAAAATGTGGTGTGTTCAACCAGAAGAGATAGAATTTATTAGATTTCCTACCTAAACATTAATATTACCACATTTTTTTTTCAGAAATGCTGACATTATGTCCAAGATTTTCACCTGAAAAGGTTTTCATTTGCAGTAAACTTTAAATTTTCTAACCGCACACTACACAGCTCCCACACAATACAAATCTTTATCCTGCACATATACAATTAGGTATTGCTACTTTCTGCTGATAAAATTGTCTTTAAATTGTTGTACTTTTGTGGATATTAGGAATTTGTTGTACAGAAAAAAAAAAAAATATATATATATATATATTTTTTTTTTCCAGTATCACATATTAATTAGCAGAAACAGACATGAAGACACGGATGAAAATAAAAGGGCTCATGCTCTAATATTTTCTTTACAATTTTTTACATTTCTTCTAGAGAGAAGTGTTTATGAAAAATCAGTGTGGGATTCATGAAATATGTCTGTTTATCAAATCAATCACTTTCTATCAGATGTGGGTCACATTAAGAGAAAATTACTCATTGAATGTATCACACTGCATGGGTTCTTGAGGGACATTTTTCTTTGTGAGAAGAGGCTTCTACTGAAATTGGTTTCACATGTCTAAGTTAAATGGGGCAGGATTTTTCATTGTTTAAATATTTCAATTTCAGTTGGCTAAAATATCGCCACCAAGAGACCAATCTCCCCAGATTTTGTGATGGGGAGCTGAGAGACATAATCAATATGACAAGTTTCATAAGAGTCAGCCAAGGTGTGAAGCAAGAGCTCACTACAGTAATTTAATATAATTCAAAATGGCAGCCAATTCAAGATGGCAATGACCCATGAGATACATACTGTAAAACCCCCAGTAATCACCAGGGTGCTTATTTGATTCCTCAACCAAAAGTACCAGATGCCTATTAGTTGTTGACAGTTATTAAATTTTGTATTGACAGTATTGAAGACTTGCTTTATTCTATTTAACATAGTTCCACAACAAATTCCACATCAAACTTGAAAAGCCAGAGCTCAATAACATATATTCTGCATAAATCTGTTGTAAAATATTATACTTACACTTCCACATACTCCAGTAGATCAAGGTATACAGTGATATCAATAGTCAAGTCAGACATAAACATTCTATGCCACTTTTACAGTGTAGTATTGTGGAAATGTTTCTTGTGATTACTAATACAAAGCAGATAAGGCAGTGTTTTCTTGTTTTTGTAAAATTTATTAGCACATACTGTGCCTATGAACTAAACAACCAACCTCTTTAAATATCACCAGTTGCATACATTTAACCTTCATCTTTTGACCCAAGTAAATGTACGATTAATGGGAAAACTTTGGGGAATTTCTGCATTTTGTTTATGAAGTAATTTAAGTGGAATAGTAGCCAGAGAATGGTAACCTTAGTGCATTAGTGTATGAGAGCTAAGTATTTTGTTTATTTTGAAACAAATATGTAATTATTGTTTAAACCTAATGACAACAAATGG